TCTTCAAATATTTAGGTTTGCAACCTTGTCATCTGAATCACTAGTTGTATCCTAAAACTTTTTCCTCCTTTGTTGGAGCTCTACTTAAGTTAATTAATAATGAAATAGCTGGTTATGGGGCACATTTAGTAACCACTTAACCAAATTCCAAAGCATGATTTAGCTATCACCATCAGCTAGTTAATTACTTGCTCCACTTACAATTTTATATATGTATTGATTGTACCCTATAAGCTTTTGTAACTTTTTGGTATGTCTATATATATATATATATATATAAGCTTTTGTAACTTTTTGGTATGTCTATATATATATATATATATATATATCATGATGTATATTTAATCTATACGAACGATTCATATAGTGATTGACAGTTGTGAGTTGTGTGACATAATCATTTTTTGTTACGAGAAACTTATTAGCCTAACCATATTTTTTATGTTCCTCAATTATATTACTTGATTATTATTGAAATTAGCGTGTAACTACGCACTAATTTGTGTCTGGTTGAATTTTGTATCAAGAAATGTAAAAACAATTTACCCCCTATTTTTTTCATAAAATAATTAAAATTTTAAATCAAAAGATTGTAAAAAATGCTTAGGAATCAGGTGACTAGAAAAAATATACGTGTACACGCTTAGAATTGGAATAAAGTTTTTTTTTTTCGTCTTTTAATTTCACTTTTCAACGTGAAGCTTGGAATTGTGAGGGGTGAATTCGGAAGAAAGGCCATCTTAATTTATGCAGTCATGTTAAGCTCATTTGATTCCTAAATATATTGTTTAATGTATGGTTTTAAGACACAAAACTTGTTTATACATATTTTTCTAAATATAGTATACTGCAGTGATTCAATTGATAGCAATAATTATATTTAGTTTTAATAGTTCACTTATATTTTTCGAATAAAATTACATGAAATTTATTTTAGTTTGAAAGTTCATATAAATGATTTTTTTCTTTTTCTTTTTCTATTTTTTTTTTATTTTTTTTTTTTGGAACAATTGAGTCATATGACTGCTTAATCAAGAATTTGCATTTTAATGAAAAAGTGATTTCACATATGTCCATGCCTTTTAATCTATTGTGTGAATGCACCACACCACACCACATCTGTATTTGTATTTGTATGCATATTTCAAAATTCTATTATACATCTGTATTTATATTTATATTTGTATTTGTATTTGTATGCATATTTAAAAATTCTATTATGCATACTTTTGATATCAATTTGCACTCATCCCCTAAGTCACACAATCTTTCTTAATGGGTGTTGTTCTCACGCTTCAAACACACTCCCTCTCTCATTCTACGCACGCGCTTTCGCTCCCATTTTGCCGCTTTTGCGCTCTTGAATTCACTTTCGCTCACGTTCCTGCTTTAGCTCCCGTTCTTGCTTTATGTGACTTAACTCATCCCTATTTTGTATCTAAAATGCGAGACATAAGATTGTATTTATTTTCCCATATATCTCAGCCTGCATTATATATTAGTAAGTAGGGTAAATTACACCCGAAGTTCTTTAAAGTTAGGAGAAATTATACATGAATATTAGAGTGTTTGACTTTTATTACTTTGATCTCTCATAAAAGTATAAAATATCTTTCATACCCCTATCTAATTTAATAATAAAAAAATTATCAAACCAAAAGACTCTATTACCCTTTTAATTTTTTCCCCATCTTATAAACATTATACTACCGTACTTTAAAAATAAATAAATAAAAAAGAAATCTAATCAAACCCTAAAAAGAACCTAATAAAATGTCATTAAGAAAAAAAATGAAAAATTTAAGAATATTAAATTGGTATGCAAATTGATGTTTTGCATTTTAATGGTATTTTTGTCATTTATGTTAAAATATAAGGTTATTTAGATCTTTTAACATAGGAAAAAGGCAACTTAGTAGTTTTTTAAATTTTTATTAACGGCATGGAATGTCATTAAGCACACACGCCAAATCTCAAGGAGGTAAAAGTAATAAAAACATTTTATTCAAACAAATATAGAACTAAAAAATGTAATAAAGGCCAAACGCTCTACATGTGTGTAATTTATCCAAACCTCAAGGGAGGTTAGTGTAATTTACCCTAGTAAATAAAACTAAAGAATAACTAGTATAATGTGTGTGTATATATATATATATCACATATTAAATGACTTATTAAATTGGTATTTAAAGAATTATGAAATATTTTAAGGAAAATACTTAGGTTCTCTCACTCGCAAATTACAATCTTGTTATGACACATCATGGTAAATAAAAAATAAAGGACAATACATAGGTCCTCGGCAATGAGGATATACATTGTCCTCACCGCTGATGTAGACCAATAAAAAATAGACACGTGTCTTCTTTTAGTACCAAATCATGTATATACCCACCATCTCTATTTTGGTAAGTGAATATGTACTCCATTATCTCTATTTTAATAATTAAAGATGATATATCCATTTATTATTAGTCCGCATCAACAATGAGGAAAACTTAAGTATTGTCCTAAGAATAAATGACTGTGTTAAATAGTCAATGCAAATTCAAAATAATAAGATCCTTACCCCATAATCCACCACCTGGCACATGAAGTCCCCCATCTCACATGTACCAACAATTGCCAGGGAAATTTATTAGGGGTGGCTCCAAAGAGATTTGAACTCCCTAATGTCCAACTTGTGATGTGAAAGTCTTTGCAATTAGGCTATCCTTTTGATATTTATTTCTTTATTGAAAGTACAATACTTAGATCCTCACCGATGATATATACTCCACTCTCATCCCTAATGTGAACCTATAACAAATGGAGGCAAACTTTTTAATTATAAAATAAATAAATAAGTCAAAAGAATATTACTAATAAGTGTGTAACTCACAATTTTTGATTTGGTAATTAAAGATATACTCCACTATCTTTGATTTGGTAATTAAAGATGATGTGTCAATTTGTTATAGATTCACATCAGCGGTGAGGATGTAGTATATCTATACCCATGAGGACCTAAGTATTGCCCTTATTATTATTCTATTATACATTTTTTTAACCCCTCTCTCCTAGCCGGGAACCTTTGTTGTTTATTAGTGTTGTAGAATTTTCTAACACCGAAAATTTGTTTTTAACATATTAAATTTATCTATTTCAACTTGTTGAAAAACAAAATTAATGTGTTAAAAAATTAGTATATTAATAAATATAAAAAAAAATATGTTAAAGATTTATTCCCTCAATCCCATATTAGATGTCCATATTTAGAATTTAAAATTTTTAAGGGAATATGCAATTAATACATTAGATGTCCCACTTTAAAATTATCAATTTGTCATTTTTAGTTTAAATATGTATAGTTACTAAATTTGAAATTTTTTGAAAACATAAAGGACAAAGATGAAAAGATAATTTTATTTGCTTTGACTTTTATAAACAGATAGTCAAAAAAGGAATAGTGGACAACTAATATGAGGCAAAGACAAAAAATAAAAAAAGAATAAAAAAAGAATAATGGACAACTAATATGAGACAAATATGGTATTATATTAAAAAATGTAATAAATGTGTTAAAAAAAGTATAACACAACTACAATAGCGGATGTTATAGCCGATTGTGGCACCTCTCCCCTCCAATTATAAAATCTTACCTCCGTTCCATTTTAATGTATACTTTTGGAGAATCTAACTTTTAAAGATGATGACTTGTAGTGTTTTTTTATTTATTATATTAGTAGTGCATGAATGATTAAATTTACCCATAATGAGGTCCATATTAATGTGATTGTTTATTTTTACAAGTTGAATGTAAGAGGTTAAATTGGTAATGTTACAAAAAGGAGTGCATTGACTTTTTAATTGAGACAATTAATTTAGAACTGGTAAAATAGAAATGTGGACAATTTTTGTAAGACAGAGGTAATAAATTATTAGGTACATTTTGATTGAAATGGTGGATTAACAAAATTAAATTCGCGAATTATAACAAAATTTGTTCTCGAGTGCCAATTCAGGCACAAGGGCAATACCCTCTTAGAAGGATTGCATACATAGACCACGTGATGAGATTCATTTAATGGATAATCTACCTCCGTCCCATTTTAATGGACACTTTGGTAGAATCTAACTTTTTAAGATGATGACTTGTAATGTTTTTTTATTTATTATATTAGTAGTGCACGATTGATTAAATTTACGCATAATGAGGTCTATATTGATGCGATTAGTTGTTTGTACGAGTTCAATGTAAGAGGTTAAATTGATAATGTTACAAAAAGGAGTGCATTGACTTTTTAATTGGGACAATTAATTTAGGACAGCTAAAATAGAAATGTGGACAATTTTTGTAACACAGGGGAGTAATAAATTATTAGGTACATTTTGATTGAAATGGTGGATTAACAAAATTAAATTCGCGAATTATAACAAAATTTGTTCTCGAGTACCAATTTAGGCATGAGGGCAATACCTTCTTAGAAGGATTGCATACATAGATCACGTGATGAGACTCATTTAATGGATAATCTACCTCCGTCCCATTTTAATGGACACTTTTGGAGAATCTAACTTTTTAAGATGATGACTTGTAATTTTATTTATTTATTATATTAGTAGTGCATGACTGATTATTATATTGATGCGATTAGTTGTTTGTACGAGTTCAATGTGAGAGGTTAAATTGGTAATGTTACAAAAAGGATTGCATTGACTTTTTAATTGGGACAATTAATTTAGGACGGCCAAAATGGAAATGTGGACAATTTTTGTAAGAGAGAGGAATAAATTATTAGGTACATTTTGATTGAAATGGTGGATTAGCAAAATTAAATTAGTGAATTATAACAAAATTTGTTCTTGAGTGCCAATTCAAGCATGAGGGCAATACCCTCTTAGAAGAATTGCATACATAGACAACCTGATGAGACTCATTTAATGAATAATCTAACAATTGAGAGACTCGGGAAGTGTACTTCCTAAGTATTGTAAATTTTCTCCTAGACCCCCCTCTCTTGTATTATTTTTCTTTTTTCTCATGGGGTGAAAGGCTCCCCCTCTCTCTTATATTATTTTTCTTTTTTCTCATGGAGTGAGCCTTACACCTCACTTAATCTGTTTATTGTTGACCATACTTTAAGGAGTCAATTCCATTGGCCAGTTCATGGGAAACAAATACCTTGTTGACATTATTTCAAATTTCTTTAGTAGATTCTCTACACGCTCTTTATCAGCACGTGGGACTTTCTCATTTCTTCTTCTCAATATACACAATACTAACGCACACATGTCTCTCTCTGCCAATATTTTCCTCTTCTCCAGCTCTTCCCTCTTTCTCCCCTTCTCAAAACATCACCTCAGCTAAACAATTCAACAAACACTTTACGTACACACTGAGAGTAACACCTGTCGCTGTGTCACACCACAAAATTTCGTCACTTTCCGACCTCATCGCCGGTCCCGGTCTTCTAACTCCGTCGACACCCAAAACCCATCTCGCCGGCGGCGACTTTTCCCGGTCAAATGCACCAAAGGAACCGGAAAACTGACACAAGTCTTCATAGCCGTGACGACACGATGATACAGCCCAAACCCAAACTACACCAACAACAACCAGAGACCAACAACGAGCTCTGGGTCTGCTTCTGATTCTTTCAGATACATACCCAAACTCGTCACCCATTTTCGAACACACCTTCTCAATGGCCGACTCTGATTCGACCCCAATCGACACGTCTTCCTCGGTCCCTCTATCATCATCCACTGAAGATGTTGCGGTGAAAGCGGTGAACAAGCGATACGAAGGGTTGGTGACGGTTCGAACCAAGGCCATCAAAGGGAAAGGAGCTTGGTATTGGGCTCATCTTGAACCCATTTTGATTCGAAACCCCGAGTCGAACCTTCCCAAGGCCGTGAAGCTCAAGTGCACTCTCTGCGACGCGGCGTTTTCGGCTTCGAACCCGTCAAGAACAGCCTCGGAGCATCTCAAGAGAGGGACTTGCCCCAATTTCAGCTCTGTATTGAAACCCATTTCGTCTGCTTCTTCTCCGTCTCCATTGTCGATGATAGCTTCGCCTTCTTCACATAATCATCGGAAACGGAGCTCACAACATACGGGTCATACGGGTACTTCTTCGGTTTCTTACCAACTTCATTCGCTGGCTATGGTTGATTCGAGACGGTTTTGCAGTGAATTGGGTTACTCTCCGCCGTCACAAGTTGCGCAAACTGTTGGCAGTGTGACTAATACAGGGTTGAACCAGCAGCATTTGATGTTATCTGGTGGAAAGGAGGATTTGGGTGCTTTGGCGATGTTGGAAGACAGTGTAAAGAAGCTCAAGAGTCCGAAAGCCTCACCCGGTCCGTCTCTGAGCAAGGACCAGGCTGATTCTGCTCTGGACCTGTTGGCTGATTGGTTCTATGAGTCTTGTGGGTCAGTCCCATTTTCTAGCCTTGAGCACCCCAAGTTCAAAGCTTTCCTTAGCCAAGTTGGCTTCCCCTCTGTGCCACGAAGAGAGCTTTTTGGTGCTAGGCTCGATTCTAAGTATGATGAAGCGAGAATGGAGTCAGAAGCTAGAATTAGGGAGTCTTTGTTCTTTCAAGTTGCTTCTGATGGGTGGAAGAACAAGAACTGTAGATATGGGGAAGAGAATTTGGTTAAGTTTATGGTTAATCTTCCAAACGGAACAAGTGTGTTCCAAAAGTCTCTATTTTCAGCTGGTTCGGTACCTTCCAAGTACGCGGAGGAGATTATGTGGGAGACATTAGCTGGTATATGTGGGAGTGATGTGCATAGATGTGTAGGTATTGTTGCTGATAAGTATAAGGGCAAGGCATTGAGAAATTTGGAGGTTCAGAATCATTGGATGGTTAATTTATCTTGTCAGCTCCAGGGTGTTATTAGTTTAATTAAGGATTTTAGCAAAGAGCTTCCTCTTTTTAAGACTGCAACTGATAATTGCTTGAAGGTGGCTAACTTTTTTAATAGTAATTCTCAGCTTAGGAATAGCTTCCACAAGTTTAGGTTGCAGGAACTTGAGCCTGCTGGGTTGCTTAGAGTTCCTTCGCCCAAATGCAATAACTCCAAGAACTTTGCTCCTGTTATGGCAATGTTGGAGGATATGCTGAGCTGTGCTCGGGTACTACAATTACTTGTATTGGATGATTCATATAAGATCATGTGCGGTGATGATCCCATTGCCAGAGAAATTGCAGAGATTATTCAAGATGTAGAGTTCTGGAATGACTTAGAGGCTGTTCATTCACTAGTGAAGCTGGTTAAAGGGATGGCTGAAGAGATTGAGGCTGAGAGGCCATTAGTTGCACAGTGCCTTCCTCTTTGGGAGGAGTTGAGAGCAAAAGTGAAGGAATGGTGTGCCAAATTCAGCATTGCAGAAGGTCCTGTTGAGAAAATAGTTGAAAAGAGATTCAAGAAAAACTACCACCCAGCGTGGTCTGCTGCGTTTATACTAGACCCACAGTACTTGATGAGAGACACAAGCGGAAAATACCTTCCGCCATTCAAGTGCTTGACACATGAGCAGGAGAAGGATGTAGATAAGCTCATAACCCGTTTGGTTTCAAGGGAGGAAGCTCATATTGCATTGATGGAGCTCATGAAATGGAGGTCAGAAGGGCTTGAGCCACTATATGCACAGGCTGTTCAAGTCAAACAGCGAGACCCTCTGACAGGAAAGATGAAAATTGCAAACCCACAGAGCAGTAGACTTGTCTGGGAAACTTGCCTAAAAGAGTTTAAGTCACTGGGGAAGGTTGCAGTGAGGCTTCTCTTCCTTCATGCAACCTCGTGTGGGTTCAAATGCAACTGGTCTTTCATGAGATGGGTTTGTGTTCAAAGGCATTCCAGGGTGGGCCTAGAGAAGGCTCAGAAGATGATATTTATCGCAGCTCATGCGAAGCTTGAAAGGAGGGATTTTTCAACTGATGAAGAAAAGGATGCAGAGCTATTTTCCATGGCCAGCGGTGAGGATGACATGCTCAATATGGTCTTTGCGGATGCTCCCTCAGTGTAATGTTTTACTTTTTAACTCCTGTAGGATTCTGAAATTGTAGGATTTATTATATTCTTTCCTCATCTCTTTTCTCTGGCCGTGTTGTTTACTTCTAATAGAATATTTTGGAGAGTAGGGTTAATAGGGAAGGAGAGAAAATTTGAACAATGTAAATCTAGAAACTGCACAGCCACATGATTTAAATGTATCATTAGGCTGGCACGATTGGAGGTTCTTGCGGTTTGTAGCCAAGAAACTCGTTATTGTTTATAAAGATAAAAATGGTCCAGGAACAGAACATGAAGGAAGATGTAGCATTTTGGTTGCTAGAGTAATTTGATATATATATAATAATATATGACTTTTTTGCTTAGTATATATTCTATGTTCAGAATCTGGGCTCTTGAAGTTGGGATTTAGGTGTTTTTTGAGTTGTTGAGATTGTGATCTGGCATTACATCTTCTAATTTTTCCCCTTAATTTTTCATTGCAGATTGTATGAATTGAATTGCTAATCAATAACCATAGATATTTTGGAAATCAATTATTAGCCTTTTTTCCCTTTTGGATGATACTCTTGCGACATTTTTTCATTTACAGCATGCAATTTAGCTAGAAGACTGCCTATGATTGCCTATGATTCTTGGATTACAAGTTCCTTTCCAATTCCCTGGCTTGTTGTGTAACTAAGGACATGGTGGTGCGGATGTCCAACATAAATATTATGAGTTACCCACTGTTCTTATTGAAACAGATTAACTACAAAATGGTGTCCAATAAGCATGCATGTTGGTGTCTCTGATGACATCAAAGGGAAAAAGAAAAAAAGGAAAAAAAAAAGAGAGAGAGTGTAAGTATTAAATTGACATAGACAACTAAATGTCACATAAATAAAGGGAACAGTAGTTGCTCATCATCAGGCAAGGTTCTAAAGATTGTGCTACAATGAGTCCTCATATCAAAGATGTGATTCTAAAGCTTAGGACAATGCACATCTTTTTAGCAAATTCAAGTGCTTAGATATTGCTTTGTTTTGTAGCAGAAATGCTGTATTGGTATTTTCGTTACCCTTCTCCAGAAATACAAAATAATCAGAGATGAAATATTAGATTCTTCATCTGAATATCATTTCAAATTTGGTTTACAGCCTTGTTATGCTTCCCCAGATTACGGAAAGTTCAAGAAAGAAACCGGATCATCAATAGGATCCTCAAGAAATTAGCACAATATTCTTCATTTGATAAGCATGAAAATTAAATTAATCTTTTTTCGTACTTTTCATCTCAAATACCATTTTGGTCATCTGAGTTGGTCAGGTAAGAAAGGTTTTTCCATATTGCTTTGAAATGTCTTGCTGCATCTGATTGTCGTTGGTAGTAAACTTCTGTTGTCCTCAGTTTTTATTTATTTACTTGTTTATTGGTCTTCTATTGGGGAGGGGGTGGGTATGGGTGTGGGGGAGTGAATACTTCTGTTTTCAAATTAAATGTACGGATGGACTTCTAATTTCTTTCTAACAGCCTGGCTAAGATCAGTAGTTTGCATGATCTCACAATCACTGTGCAGGCACTGCTGCCCAAGATCTAGCTAAAAGCTTACGAAGGCTGGTATTACATGTCATGTCAATGGCTTTGCTATTATAAGTAGAAATTTAACAGATCCATTCTAGCTTCTTAACATGTTTCAAAATTTGAACATATCCTTGTTTTGCCTAGTGAGAGGGAGGGCTGGTCTAGAAGACAGGCAGTTAGCTTTTTAGAATTCTGTCCTAAAATATTGGGAAAACCATGACCTGTTTCCTCATATTAATCAGTTTCAAGGAAGAAACAAATGAAAAAGATGCGGCCAGTAATGTATATGGTGGAATATTGAACTTGTCAAGCTGTCTTGAAAAAGAAGTTGCAAAAAAGGAGATAAAAATGAACATCTGTTTGATTTTTCTAAAATATCTTTTTGCCGTATTTGGGGTTTTCTTGAACCAGTTGGGTGGATGGAGAAGTAGACCTAGTCATAAAATGGTCAACCTCGGAATAAACCAAAAACAAATCTTTGTAGCTGAAGCACTGTTAATTTCATACCCATCTCTGGAGTGTTTACAGAGAATAGAGCCCCACCATGAAGAGTGGACGTCCATGTCAGTGCTTTGGTTGTCATGGTCAAAGTAAAGTGACGATTAAAGGGTTTTGTTACCCATTACCTCGCCCTCTGTGTGTGTGTCTTTTTTTTTTTTAGTTTTTTATTTACTTCTGTTAAGATTTGTTTCCATCATCTTTGGTTAGCTTGTTGTCTAAACTTCCTAATTTTTCTTGCCTTCAGGCTGGGCCCTCTGTGGGACTGTTGATCTCAGCATTGAAAAGATGGAGCTTGCAGTCATTATTTTGGATTGCCATGATTGTTAAAAGGTCTTGAGCAAACTGGAAGCAAGGCAGGCTGTCGGGATGAGGAAGAACATGACGGGGTGAAAGGGATTTGGCAACAAACTTAAACTACTTTCTTTGCCGCGAGTACCGTTGACTATAATTCAACAGGTTGGTGGATTTAATGGTAATGCTGTTATTTTCTTTGTTTTACTTTACACATGGTCACACACACGCACACATGCGCGCGCACACACACTGTGATATACAGCCTGCCTTATTTTTATTAGAAACATTCTCCTTTCTTTGCTCTTGGGAGTTGGCTGCAGAAAAAAGGAAGAGTCCCCAAATTTCCTTCTTCCAGTTGGCTCTATATATACCATCATCCTCTTTTCAGTGGCTGATTAGAAACGTGGGTTCTTCTTACACATGACATAGGCAAGTATAAAATCTCTAGTTAGAGTTTTCCATGTTCCAGTAACATCTTAAAAAATGTAGTGGGGTTTAGGAGCTCATGGGACCGGATTCTTGGATTCCATGGCACAACAAAACATGTAATACATGTATAATTAATGAACTATTTTCGTTGCCTTCTCAATGGAGGAGAATTGTGGAAATTGGATTCAGGTAGTACAGTTTGAGGCAGGTGAAATGTTTCAATCTACTATACGTGCCCATGATTATGCATTAAAGGGAAAAAAAATAATTAAAAAAATAAATAAATAATGAAAAAGATGAGCGGTACAAGGGATGGAAGAAAAAGTAAGAGAGATGGAAAATACACTATGTCAGGCAACAAAGCATATGGGGTCTTTGGTTGGTCATCCTCCTCCTTCAATTGTAGCTGTAAAGTAATGTTTCTGGTTTGGGTATTCCATCAGTCTTTACTTTTAGGTGAATGGTAATTTCAGGAGAATTTTAGAGACCATACCGATTATTTGCTTAACTTTGGACTACCATCTCCTTCTTTAGCTTACATTCATTTACCCTCATTCACAAGCAGTAAAAACGTGAAAGTCAATGGATTCTCACATTTTCGGTTTAGTATAGTAGATCAGTATCAATGCATTGTTGTTAATTTACCTTTGATTTTTTTTTGCCTAGCAACTCATTTGGTGGAGAGACAGCGGATCCTGTCGGCAAGGCTGTCTAATACTGACTGCTTACCAACTAGAGGAGAAATCTTTTTCACTTGTATGGTATGGCTTCATTGTTTCACTCCATCATGTTCTTTTAAAAGGGGAATGAGATATAATGATTAGTATAGGACAATACTCTCTTTCTACAAGAATCTTACTCCTTTCAATGCTCCTCCATAATTAACCTTCTTTTCCATCTCTTTTTCTTTCCTACTTGTACAAACTCTTGATTGTTTATTCGAATTTGAATTCAATACAAGTATGGATTGTGAAAGGTTGTTGGAATTAATTGACATTATTTCATTCCCCATGACCCCCCCTACTATTGTACCTTCTCAATTTAATGCGTGTTCATGTTGGCTTCATTTTCAGTTTGGACGAGTCGTGGTGACACACATACATGCATCCATGAAAAGTTAGCAGTAGCCCCGATACAAAACAGAGGATGACAGCGTTTGGATGGAATGGTGATGTGCAATGACAACAACAAATGGCTTGCACCGGGGAGGAACAATGTTAACAGATGAAGGTCGTGGCATTTTTAAAAAACACAGTGACCAGAGGGAAAAAGAAGAAAAGAAATGTAAAGTTAAGAGGAGGAATGCTGGTGGAATATGCAGAACAAACACATTTTTTAATTTATTTTTTGGTTCTGAAGCTCAAAATTTGTCATACAATGTGTGTTACAGTTAGGCACAAGTGCAAGAACTTGTGTTTATGATGTAATGTGATGTTAATTTCAACCATGTATATAGCTTTATCAATGTCATTCACAAATCTAACATTATCACCAAGTGTTGGACTAAAAGATGTGGTCCTTGATGTGCTTTGGAGAACATTATTTGTGGCCCTTAATGCGCTATTATTCAACATTGTCTGACATGTATGGGCTTCACTTAAGATATGATGGTCCTGTAAATGTACTAGTATGTATTAACAGAAACCTTTTTTACTTTAGGTGAGTTTGTGAAAAGTGTTATAAATGAAAAATAAAAGAAAAGAGAAGCAAACAGAAAGTAGATATCCACTTTTTATGAAAACTTTGGCCATTTTAAGTAAATTTTATTAATAATTCAACTAATTGTAAGGACTCATAAATCAAATAAACAACTCTCTCTCTCTCTCTCTCTCTCTCTCTCTATATATATATATATATATATATATATATGTATGTATCAGTTAAGGACTCACAAAAGCTGTGTTCTATTCAAATAATGAACAATAAGTTTAAATTTTGTCAACTCACAGATGGGTAGAAATGAAAACTGGACCTAGAAAGTTATACTAGATTTAAATATAGCACTACAGTTATGAATCCTCGGTAAAAAAAAAAAAAAAAAAATAGGAAAGTGTTTCAGTTGAAAAAACCCTCAATTTTCAGTTTCTTCTAGATTGCTTTTTCCATCAACCTCAAAGGTTATTTATTTATTTATTTATTTTCTTTCAAATTCAATATTATATTTAATGGCTCTAAGGGGCATAGTGATGACATATTATTTTTTGGCTCATTTAGACATTAATAATGTTCTTTAGAGAGGTGATATTCTCAGTTGGTTATCCAACTTCTTTCATCAGAAATAAAAATATTATTAATAAAAAAATGTATATATAAAAAATTCTGTACTCATTTATATTATATATATAGTAAACATTTTATTAGATTAATAATCCAACTTATCATAAAGATTCACAAATCACATAAAATTATATTATATATGTTGGATAATAAACACATGAATGAAAAAAAAAATACTTAATAGAATATTATATATATATTTATTTATTGTGGCATTTTGCCTCCAAGAGCCATTTCTCATTGATTGGTTATCCAACCAATTAATTATGTTTATTTTTTAACAAATTCAAGATCTTCATGCTTATTTTTATTTGATTAATACCAAACCAGTTAACAAATTCGAGATCTTCATGCTTATTTTTATTTGATAAATACCAAACCAGTACACTATTAAGTCACATGGTATTCTACTTTATGGTGTGGCACTTTAGCACTTTTGTTTAAAACTTGCCCAAAAAGTCACATCTCTTTACATATTCTCCACCAACCCATTGCTTTATTGGTTGGGTTTGTTTAAATGGCCTCAATTTAAAATGTGTATACAACTAATTAGGGATAGTGTATCATCACTCCCACATTCCTCCCAAATCCAAGTATTATACATATAAATTATATAATACTAATTTTCTATATTTTATTGTCTAGTGTTATTTTCGTGCTTGTTTTCTTGTCCCACCCACTAGTTTCTTGTCCCAATGTTATTAAAAAAGAAAAAGTTCTCTTTCTTGGATGTGACAACAACAAACTGAAATAACCTTTTTATTTTTATTTTTTTTGGCAAGTCAAAATGAAATAAAGTTATCTGAAAGAATTGATGTCAAAATTGTATTGATTTTGAGACTTACTTGCAATCATGATTCGTCGTATCGAACGTATTAATCAATACGTAATTTTTTTTTAAGTTCGATACGCAATCCGTATCGATCAATTTATACTGACTTTTTCCTAATCTGTTAGTATGCAATCACAACTAATACCTCGACCGTAATCAATACTGTGAACCATGCTTGTAATGCATGAAACATACATGTACACATAATGCACACAACATTATCAACAATGAAAATGATTAATTCCACAGGGGATTATGAAGGAGGTAATATAAAGAATTATTTGACAATAATGAACAAATATGTTACACATAATGCACACACAACATTATCAAAAATGAAAATGAATTTTTTCCACATAAAACTAGGGGATTATGAAGGAGGTAATATATAGAATTATTTGAGTATAATGGACATATATGTACACGTAGTGCACACACAACATTATGAAAAATGAAAATGATTATTTCCACATAGAAACAGGGGATTACGGGGAGGTAATATATAGAATTATTTGACTATAATGAACATATATGTACACATAGTGCACACGCAACATTGTCAAAACTGCAAATCATTATGAAAACTGAAAATGATTTTTTCCACATAGAAAGTAGGGGATTATGAAGGAGGTAATATATAGAATTATTTGACTATAATGAAAAGTACTCTTATTTGATGACTAAAGACGAAAAATAATCCATCACCAATATTACAATAAATCCTTTTCATTATATACTCCCTCCATTGAGGGATGACAATTCTCTCTATCCGGCTGTTTCCGTAAAATGCTCCTCGTAATCCAGTAGATAAAGTACATTACATAATCTGTTTTAGGGATCGGCAACTTACCCATTTTGTGACTTTGGCACTAGACATTCCCAAAATGGTACTATCAGGTCGGGTGAATTCAATAAAAGACGCATGTTGGCATTTCAGCCTTTTTTTTTTTTTCTCCTTTCAGGGCCAATCCGAAAGAGAATTCAGTATTTCTTGGTCGTGAATATCTGAACTGGTTATTTACTGTTCAAGAATTATTGTTTATGTAATTCATACCATCTTGACCCTTCTTTAGTAGAAGTAATTCTTTCTTGTAAAGACCCATTTCAATACTAAGGGTGGGTTGATACCCCACAACGAAAGACATTTTACCCAATAAGGCGGATACTTCGGATCCTGCTCGGACGAAACAGAAGATATTATCAATAATTAGAAATACGTCTTGTTCATTAACATCTTGGAAATATTCCGCTAGCTACCAACAAATAAATTATACCATTTGATCCTTTTATTAGCCAAAAAATTGCATCTAATTGGGTGAATTTGATAATCTCCTAAATGGGTTTAGAACAGATATGATAAAATAATTAAGAACTTAAAGCGGGGTTGGGGTGGGGGCGGATTTAATGATAAACCCGTCCTGACCCAACCCCAATTATATATGTAACTTTAAATATTAAATATATTTATATAAAATATATTTAATTTTTTTAAGACTCTTATTACTTTATTAGAAGTGTCAAGTAATAATTTAAAAGCTGGGCTGGCTTAATTATCATCCCAATTTGAGCACATTAGGCTAGTTTTTTTTTTTTTATTACATAATAAAAGTGACATAACCAGCCC